AATACTAATCAATTAGGGTAATTTTCCTTATAATATAAAACGATTAAGGTAAATAATAATATATAGGAAATAATAATAATATATATGGAAACTGAATAATATGTTTGTTTGAAATACTAATCAATTAGGGTAATTTTCCTTATATCATGTAATAGACTATCTTATTAATCTAATTCGACTATGGATCTCGTTAATCGACTATGGATCCCGTATTATTCAACAACATAGTATATTAATAATTTCAATATAGTACATTGATCTGCTATGATAGTATATTACGGTTATAGAAGTGATATGAATTGTGTTACAAACAATATACCACTGAAATGACAAGAACATTGAGAACAACATCAACGTAAAGTATTCCAACATAACCAATAAAATAGTACATTAATAATCTCATAATTTCAATCTAGGGTTTTGATAAAATATATAAAACACATCATAACACAATCAAACCAATATGTCGAGTTAAAACTCTAGTATATTAATAATCTCATAATAGTATAATAAAATGATAATGGTAGTATCATACGGTATTCATAATAGTATACTACTGTATTACAACGGTTTAAAACTTAACCGAAGTTACCGAGCCATTACATCGTAAACACCTCTTTATAGCAACCAACCCACCAAACCTCAACAAAATCCGTACGAAATTCGCCATCGAAAAAACCTAAAATCATGAAACAAAATAAAAAATGCAGAATAATAAAAAATGATTAAATAGACTGCAAATACATTTGAATGACAATACATTAATATCATCAAAAATAAACTTAAAATGGAAAATCCATACGCTAATTTAAAAAAGACTACGAACTATATTTTAATGTACTACCCAACACACTTAAATCGGCTGTTATAAACAAATAAACCAACTATCGATTGGGATCAAAAACATGAACTCGACCACAACGGACAATTATTCCGATTATTGCATAAACCAACTACGAAGCTCATATAAAACAACTCTGGTCCGATCTGCGTGAACCATCCTCTTCTAACTCTGTCAATCTTCTTCCAAACAAACATCATCCGCCAAAAATAACGATGTATATATTAATATGATACGACATTAAAAATGCAGAATACTAAAAAATATATTAATATGATCAAAAATAAACTTAAAATGCAAAATCCATACGATAACTTAAAAAATACTACGAAATATATTTTAATGTACTACCCAGCGTCCTAAAATTCGCTGTTATAAACATATAAACCAACTATCGACCGGGATCAGACTCATGAACTCCACGACAGCGGACAGTTATTTCAATTAATGCGTAAACCAACTACGATGTTCATATAAAACAACTCTGGTCCGATATACGTGAACCATCCTCATCTAACTCTGTCAATCCTCTTCCAAACAAACATCATCCGCCAAAAAAAACGATGTATATATGACGGAATAATTTTGTTAAAAAACGTTCTACTTAATAGAATCAAGTATCAACACAACTCTTAAAAATTTCTAACCACCGTAATCGACAATTCTAGACATTGAGCGAAAAATAAAAACGAATAACGCATTCATACCCGGTTAACAACGTCCAACAACGAACGCTCAAATTCGATCATATTTCAACGACGGTGCAGAAATCTTCAAAGACGATAAAAAACCGCTGGAACGCTGAAGAGAACCTTCGAAAAATATTGTACACGATTTGATATAACGGCCAATGATCTCACGTAATTTTATTCCGTGATTTTAGGCAACGTATCAGCAAATCTCAAATCACGTAGTAAAGGAAATAAATGCCGTTTAAAAATAAAACATGGGGTATTAAAGGAAAATTATATAATATATTTTGCCAAGTTGGCAAAATTGGGTCTATCTCAAAAAGGGGAAAAAAAATTGGATCTACCTCATTAGAAAATATGAACAAGGGGGTTATCCCTAATAAACCCTTTTTAAAAATATGTTTGATCAATATTATCTATCATTTTAGATTTCCAATACTGTATTTTTTCCTTTTTTAACCTTATTAATGCATCTCTAAACATTAATTATCTCTTATAAATCATTACATGATAAAAGTTATTTTAGTCATTTTTATGTGATTTTCCTAAAATCAAGTTACATTTATTGATTTTTTTAATCTTTGTGAAAAATAAAAAGAGACACTTATTTAGGGACGGAGAGAGTATAAAATAAGGTCATTTTAGTTTAAAAACATACATTTTCATAAAATCAAGAAACATTTAATGAAATCATTAATTCGTGTGCAAAGCTGAAAACGACTATTAAAGGGGAACGAAGAGAGTAATAGATACAAAATTTGTTTTTGTTTTTTTAATAATAGCTACAATTTGGACGCTAGATAAATTATCTAATTGAGGTAAATAACTACCTATTAAATACATATACATACACATGAGTGTGTATGATTATATATAGGTCTACCGTTCAATTTCACTCAATATAAATAACCAGATTTAGCATCTAATTTCTCGTAAATTACTCTCCGAGCACCATATGAATTATTCCATAACCACAAGTTTTCCACTACTTCAAAGGATCCCTACTAAAAATAGCTATTCCCATTGCTATAAAAAGCAACATTGCCACCCATCTTTCCTTCAAGGCAGCAATAAAACAAATAAACACACACACACAAACAAAGAGGCAGGCAGGAATTCGGTGAAATTTCATTTCCTTTTCAGCTCCTTCAAGAAGTTTCGTCGAGTCCTTCCAGCCGCACCATGGACATGAGGAAGATCGCATACGCCGCCCTTATCGCCGCCGTCTCCGTGAGCGCCGTCGCTGCAGAGAGCCCTGCGCCAGCTCCCGGACCGACAAGCGATGCCGCCGTGGCTGCCTTGCCCGCTGTGGGGTCCCTTGTGGGGGCCTCCATCTTATCCTTTTTAGCCTTTTACATGCACTAGGGCCACCCCCAAAAAAGAAAAAAAAATATGATGAAATAAAGGCACTCGTGTTGGTTTATTTGAAATAAATAAAAAAAAATTATGTAAAAAATGGTTGTAAGTTTGTTGTTTTTCTTGTTCTACTTTTTTTTTCAAATCGAATAAAGGGTCAATTCTTTTATACATCTATTTTCCTTCTTTTGTTTAATCCCCTAATTACCTACATTTATATGTTTCATCCAACTATCTAATT